TTAGGGTTTAGGGTGGGAATGAAGGTATGGAAGAGAAAATGGAAACTACTATAATGCGTTCATGCAGGGACTACAATCAGGATCGATTCCTTCATTCCTATCTAACCCAAGGTAAGTAACAGTAGGGATATCTGCTGCCTATAAGATGGATCCTGAATTTTGTGGGCTGCCAGCAAACCCATGATTCTCGTGCTCTGTAAGTGCTCGAATTAAGATAGGATTTTAGCCAAAGATCGCACCAAGTTTGGGGATTGATCATCGAGGACTGTTCCTGTAGCTATGATGGCGAACAAGTTCTTGTTTCTTGTGGTTTTACGAGACAGGACGGCACGACAATTTCGAACCATTTGTCCCGCCTCCTTCAGAAACCCAGACTCAAGCCCGGCGAGTTATTTGGACAACAGAACCTACATAAGGTACTCACTGCAATTGTAATGAGTGTTGCGTAGGTTCTACAGATCTACCTGCGAGATGTTCCCGCGGAGTTAGGAACTTATCGTGCAACGAGGCTCCACGCCCAAGTGTGGGAGAGCGAAACTGGTGATGATCCTGTACACATTTGCGCGGATTGCCGCCAACTTTGTGGCGCACACAATCATGTATGTAAGGGAGCAAACTTACATAAACGAGCGAGAGCGATGTGAAAAGGCTGAGTGGTGTGACCGAGTATATCATGAACATGAAAGTTTACTCACCTGGGGTCTTCTTTGCGATAGCATTGGCAGGCCGCTCATTACGGGACTCGGAGTATGTGTGCTACTTCATCGCCATGATCGCTTGTCCACCAAGTCACCGCTGCACCTGTGGACGAAACTGGGTTGCTGTTAGGAACTTAAATTAGGTTACCTTAATGGGTATATATTATAAAGAATAGGGTTTCCCCAATATAGTAACTTAATTTGATTTGATTAACAGCAACCCAGGAAATGTGTGGTCTTCTGCCTTGCTTCTTTTCACTGTGACTACAGCGTGCTTGAAGCTTCAGGTGCCTTTGACTTTGACAATGGGGTGTGGTGGCTGTTGCCGTGGGAGGTGCTGTGCAACGCCATGCAGTGGCACATGACAAACTTGAAGTTGCATGCCTTGGGCTGGCAGGGCATAGTGCGGATCTGCAAAGCTCTGATGCTTGGGATGCTTCTTTTTTGAGCAGTTTGGGCTGTGCGTACGCTGTTCCGGCACTACGTCCCACGTAGAGCAGAGTTCTCTTTTCTTCTGGCCCCTGCGATGCTCTTCCTGCAATTCGTCGGGTTGTTCTGCTCAGCCAGCAGAGCTCTTCTTGTGGGTTGGAGAGATGAGAGCATTAGATCAACTGCATGGTGCCTCTACATCAACTCCTTGCTGCTGTGGCTGGGGCCCGTCCTCAGCTTCTTCGGATATTGGGGTTTTGTGCATGGACCCATCTATTTTCTGACAACGGCAGCATATTCCTTGCTGACTTTAGATATTGGCTTCCAAGTCTTGAATGTGCTCCTGCTCAGCGGCATGGTTGGCCCACAACAGTGGCAAGAGCCTATGGCCGCGTTTCAGAGGTTGGCAGAACTGCAAGGCTTTGGCCTCTCCTCCAAACGCATTGCTTTCCCTGGACTTCTGAACCCGCACGCCAAGGACTGCGTGATTGTCATTGCTAGTGCTATGACAGTGTGTATGATGTTTGATGCCATCACTACTGTCAGGATGTTCAACAATGTTAATCGCATTCTGACACATTTCGACAGGAATTCCCCGTGTCAGGACTGCGTCGCTTCGTTCCCTGGGAAGTACAGCCAGCAGTGGGATGAGGCCGTCTCCACTGCAAAAACACAGATGGGCTTCTCCCTAGCATGTGTCATCCTTACGGATCGCGCATCTGGTTTGGGCAAGCATTGCAACAACCCAGATGCGCCGGGTCAGTGCTGGTGCCGCGCGACTCTTTGTCTAAAGAGCAGTACATAGACCCTACACCTTCGGAGAGCAAGACATAGACTGAAACATGTTTGAGCGGTTCGGCGTTTCGGGTTTTGGGTAAATACCGCGACCTCAAAAAGCAGTTTTGTTCTGGATGCTGGCTCTGGGCTTCTCAGGATTTATGGGCAGCTGCCTGCTTCGACATACCTGGCCGTGGTCGACATGCGCCCTGAGCATGGCCTCTCAGAACAGGAGCTGTTCGATCCTCTTCAAGAACCGAAATTGGCAATACATCTAATTAGGCCTTGGTTACCACACCCTATGATAATGTAGTAGTTTCCATTTTCTTTTCCCTTAGCCGTATAAAACCCCAATATACCCTAGTAGTGTCCATACTCTTTTCCATTATCCTTGCGTGCATCCGCTTATTTGCCCGCAAAGCTTGGAAACCCAAAACCCTAAGCCCCAAACCCTAAACCCTAAACCCTAAATGGCATGCGAGGCTCTAGGCTTGGCTAAACCCGAAGTCAGTTTTTCCGACAGCTTGTTTCAGGAGGACTCCCCACCCCGTAATAGTGGTATATGAGTTTTTTCACAGGACCCGGATATAGGGTTAAGGGTTACGGATCTAGGGTTTAGGGTTCAGGGTGTCATAGTGGTATAATAAGAATATAAGCGGAACCCATATAGCTACTATTATCTCTTATAGTCACTACTAGTGGGTGGGAGAGCTTCCATATGCTTATAGCCCTCGGACACGAACAACACCTACAAATGAAACGCACAGTTACCTCTACATTTGTTTAGATACGTGCATGTATACATATATGCGTAGAAGCATAAGCGCACATACACATGTCATATGAGCTATAGTCTGAACTCCTAGTCTCCCCCTTAATAACCCTATAGTAGTCCCCTATATAATCTCTTGTATAACCCCCTCTAAGGAGTGTAGACAATGGCTCATATGCGCATATATCCAAACATAGAGAGTACCCCGTCCTCTCATACTTGGAGGTCCATTGTACTTATAACCTACTTAGCAACTGTAGTCAAAGCCTAAATATAAGTCCCATAACTCCAGTTACCCTAGTATGCATTGCGTTATAACTACAGTTACTAAGTAGGTTATAAGCACAATGGACCTCCAAGTAGCAGGACTTGGACTTCAAACGAGCAGATGCCGAGGCCATGGGCCAACGCTTGGCCGCTGAGTGCAAAGTATGTTCTGTACTCATATGGGTGGTTGTCAAAATTATGATCCCTTTTTGGGTACCCTAAGTATTAGTTAGGTGCC